CCTCACCGTGTGCAGCCAACAGTGTGAGCCCTCACTGTGTGCAGACAACGCATATGATCCCTCACCGTGTGCAGGCAACACGTATGATCCTCACGGTGTGCAGACATGTATGATCACTCACCGTGTGCGGACAACACATATGACCCTCACCGTGTGCAGACAACAGTGTGACCCTCACCGTGTGCAGACAACACGTATGACCCTCATGGTGTGCAGACAACACATATGATCCCTCACGGTGTGCAGACAACACATATGATCCCTCACTGTGTGCAGACAACACGTATGACCCTCACGGTGTGCAGACAACACGCCCAGAGCTTTACACGACTCCCTCGTAGGGGCTTGATTGAGCGACTGACTGCTTGCCACAGGGTCGCCCTCAAGCTCCAAGGTGTCTGGCGCTGTGGAACCCAAGTCCCACGGTTGGTCTTGCTGCTGTGACCCTCCCTACCCTGGACCACGACGCTCCTCTCAGGCAGGGCAGAAATCACCTCCCAAAGCCAAGGCAAAGCCCAGACCTCACCCTGCACAAGAGGATTCCTCACCCCACGGGGGAAGGTGCGGGTCCCATCTGTGGCGCTGCAGCCGGGCTCACCTGGTGACCAGGACTGGGTGCCACAGGTGCTGGGCCAGCACTCACCCCAGCCCCACCAGCAGGCAGGGAGGGTACGGGGCACTGCAGAGGGGAAACTGAGTCACAGAGAATGGAGGGACTTGTCAGGATTCTGACCCATGGCTGGCAGAGCATAGCTCCACTCCCCATGTGGGGCCACGCGGCCCTGGGGCCCTCTCAGGCCTTGTCGCCCTCTCAGCCGGCGGGTAGGGGCCGGCCATGCTAGTGGGTGTCCAATCCCACCCGGGAAGGGCAGCGTGGGTCCAGCCCTGGTCCGAATTCCTGTCCTGCCAGCTGGGAGGTGTGCGCAGGCCCCTTTGCCTTCTGTGCCTCGGTGTTTCCATCTGTGGATGGCAGTTGGCAGCGTCTTGGTGAGGATTCGGCGGGTCCTGCCGCCCACCCACCCACGATGGGCTTAATCAACAGGCCCTGGCCTGGTGCGGTGGCTCAAGCCTGTAATCCCAGCACTTTGGGAGGCCGAGACGGGCGGATCACGAGGTCAGTAGATCGAGACCATCCTGGCTAACACGGTGAAACCCGGTCTCTACTAAAAATACAAAAAACTAGCCGGGCGCGGTGGCGGGCGCCTGTAGTCCCAGCTACTCGGGAGGCTGAGGCAGGGGAGTGGCGTGAACCCGGGAGGCGGAGGTTGCAGTGAGCTGAGATCCGGCCACTGCACTCCAGCCTGGGCGACAGAGGTGACAAAGCGAGACTCCGTCTCCAAAAAAAAAAAAAAAATCAACAGGCCCTGCCCTGCGTGTGACCCTGGAGGGAGGCTCTGGGACCATGTCAGTCTACAGTAGAGTAAACTGAGGCGCAGGCACCGGGTCGCCCGCCTGTGGTCGCCCGTGGAGCCAGGGCTCAGTGCCGGCCCGCGGGAATCGCCGCCCTCGTGGGGAGGGGCATGTGCGCGGGTCGCTCACGCCTCCTCCTTTTTATTGAAGTCATTTTTCTCCTCCTGTCGGCGGAACTGCCCGCCGTGGGCAGCCCTCCCTCCTACCCCAGGAGCCGAGAAGAAAACAGAAGCTTAATTGAATCCGGCACTGGGGCGGTGGGTGCAGCAGAGAGAGGCCGAGGGAGCCCCCGCCTGGGTGGGTCTGAGGCCGCCAGTAATTACGGCCCTGATGTGATTATATTAATTATCGTCGCTATTTTGTGCCGGCTTCCGCCGGGTGAGCCTGTGGACTGAGCTCTACCACACACAAGCCTCCAGGGCTCATCACAGACAGAGCCTTCGGCCTGGGGAGCCTGAGACCCAGAGAAGCCACGCGGCTGGCCCTGGCCGCACCCCAAGTGGAAGGTGGGGCTTGAAGCTCGCCCTGCTAGCTCCCCACACATGTCAGGGTTTCAAGGCCCCAGAGAGGAGAGGCCACAAGGCAGGGGCCCTGGGAAGGTGTTACTCCTCCTCCTGGGATGGGACACCCACTGGATCAGTGTTCTCTGGCTGTCAACTTAAAAAATGAATCAGCCGGATGTGCTAGCTGACGCCTGTAATCCCAGCACCTGGGGAGGCCGAGGTGGGTGGATCACCTGAGGTCAGGAGTTTGAGACGAGCCTGGCCAACTTGGCGAAACCCTGTCTCTACTAAAAATACAAAAAACTAGCCGAGCATGGTGGCGGGCGCCTGTCATCTCAGCTACTTGGGAGGCTGAGGCAGGAGAATTGCTTGAACCCAGAAGGCAGAGGCTGCAGAGACCCCACTCTGTACCACTGTACTGCATCCCAGAAAACAGAGCAAAACTCCATCTGCAAAAAACAAACAAAACAAAACAAAACAACCTGAATGAAGCCGGCTTGAGCAAAGAAGGGACTTTACTGGCCCACCCTCTGAGCTGAAGTGGTGCGCTGTTATGGACTTCAGGCATAGCTGGATCCAGGTGTCCACAATGTCTCCAGGCTTCTGACTGCTCATCTCTTGGCTCTGTTGTTCCCTATGATGGCTCCACACTGAAGAAGGGGCATCTTTGTGTAATTTGCACCAAACAGGCTGCCCCCTGCCTGTGGTGCCCATGGCCTTCCTGAGGGTCAGGAGACTCAGGATGGCCGCCACGCTGGAAGGAGAGACTGCTGGCAGGTGTGCCCGCCTCCTTCACCACACAGCACCCACTGGGACCGAGCGCTCTGTGGCGCCAGGGACGCTGGAGGCCCTAACGGTAGATTCACTCTGCTCAGGATCAATATCACAAGGCAGCAAACGACCACAGCCAGGAATGAACAAGGGCATCTGACTCCTCTGGGGTGGGGGCTGACCTGAAGGGCAGTGAGCCAAGACCTGAGGCAGGGCGAGACACCACGCAGGTGCGGCATCCCTGGGTGGTGCCCACTGAGAAGTGGAGCGGGGAGGGCATGGGCAGCCGCAGCTCCCAGACATCAGCACACACAGACGCACACACAAGTGCACACCAGCAGTGACGCAGGCACACACAAGCGCACACAGGGTTACACATGCATACACAGATCACATGCTTGCACATGCACATGCCAGCAGGCACGCAGTGATGCAGGCACACACAAGTGCACGCAGTTACACATGCACACACAGCTCACATGCTTACACATGCACACGCCAGCACACACGTGCTGACACAGGCACACACAAGTGCACACAGTTACACATGCATACACAGCTCATGTGCTTATACGTGCACACGCCAGCACACACGCGCTGACACAGGCACACACGAGTGCACACAGCTACACACGCATACACAGCTCACATGCTTACACATGCACATGCCAGCACACACGCTCTGACACAGGCACACACAAGTGCACGCAGTTACACATGCACACACAGCTCATGTGCTTACACGTGCACACGCCAGCACACACGTGCTGATGCAGGCACACACAAGTGCACACAGTTACACATGCACACACAGCTCATGTGCTTACACGTGCACACGCCAGCACACACGTGCTGATGCAGGCACACACAAGTGCACACAGTTACATACATGCATACACAGTTCACATGCTTACACATGCACACGCCAGCACACACGCAGTCACACAGGCACACAAGTGCACAGTTACACACATGCATACACAGCTCACGTGCTTACACATGCACACGCCAGCACACACGTGCTGACACAGGCACACACAAGTGCACACAGTTACACACATACACAGTTCACGTGCTTACACATGCACATGCCAGCACACACGTGGTGATGCAGGCACACAAATGCACAGTTACACACATGCATACACAGCTCACATGCTTACACGTGCACACACCAGCACACAGGCAGCTACACTCGAGTGCTTGCAGGCACTCACCTGGTCACAGGGCCACTGTTACACCAAACAGATGACACAGTAACATGGGCACACGTGCAGTCACATTGCACACACATGCAGAAGCACATGGCTACGTATGTGCACCTACCTGGCACGCACACACACGCAGCCTAGGGATGAGTGGTTGGGGCTGAAGAGGATACCAGGCGCCCGTAGCCCTGTCAACCCATCCCAGACCCTGACCGGGACTCCTTAGTGCAGCTCCTCAGGCCACTGTCAGGAGGCGGGGCTGCGCCGAACCCCCAATCCCAAAAGCTCCTGGTGGATTTGAGATGGCAGAGACCTCTGGGCCCCGCGGGCAGCGGCAGAGACAAAGCCCAGCCTGGGCTCAGAGCACAGAGACGGGTCCTGTCCTGAGGGATCTGAGGGGGGAGGGGGTCCCGTCCTAAGGGGTCTTGTGGGGAACGGGGTCCCGTCCTGAGGGGTCTTGTGGGGGACGGGGTCGTCCTGAGGGGTCGGGGGGGGTAATGGGGCCCTGTCCTGAGGGGTCTGGGTGGGGACGGGTTCCCGTCCTGAGGGGTCTGAGGGTGGACGGGTTCCTGTCCTGAGGGGTCTGTGGAGACGGGTTCCTGTCCCAAGGGGTCTGGGGGGGACGGGGCCCTGTCCTGAGGGGTCTGAGGGGGGATGGGGCCCTGTCCTGAGGGGTGTCAGGGGAGACGGGTCGGTGTCTGGTGGGGGTATGTGGAGATGGGGTCCTGTCTGAAGGTTCTGGGTGGAGCTGGGACCCACCCTGTAGGCACCGTGTGGGGTCAGAGTCCTGTTTCCTCACATGGGTGCCGTCACAGAGCTGGAATCGTGGAGCGGCACCCAGACCTGCTGCTCCAAGGGAGCGGTGGTTCATCAGGGACTGGGCTCCTGCCCCCTGCCTGCCTCCGCCCGGGGCAGGAGAATGTGGAGGGCATTCTGAACGTCGGTGGAAAGGACCTCACTGATCTGGAACCCTCTCCACCGCCTCCCTGGGGTTCACGGCAGAGCTCTCTCGTTATTAAACAGCCAGGCAAGCCAACCTCCACCCCCGTATTCCCGAAACACCTTTATTGCACTATAAACAGCTTTTATAAACAAACACGCTTGGCGAGTGTCTTACAGATTTACCCACAGTCAACCTCAGACACTAAGATATCAAACAGTGCAGGGGCTGTTAAACGGGGGACCCCAGAGAGAACAGGGCCTGGGAGGGGTGAGCATCAGAGAAGGCGGGGAGCGTCTCTCTCCATGCAGGGCACCCTCCCCGCCTCCCCGGCCTGAGGAGCCCCCGCCCCGGGTGCCCCAGCTTCCAGAGAGAGCAGAGCGCCTGCAACACCAGGCTCAGAAGGGGCCCAGCCCCAAGGGCCCTGCACTGTCTCTCTCTCTGGAGGGCTCACAGGTGTGTCCCACCGAACGTGCAGCAGGGGCCCGGCTGCTCCTCCAGTCCTGGGAAGCAGCTCCTCCACCCTTCCCTGGTCAAGAGGAACAATGTGCAGCAAACGGGCTGATGAGGGACGTCCTGGGATGCCACAGATGTGCCCTGGTTCCCCGTGCCCACCAGCAGCCAGGAGAGGCACAGGCACTGCCCTGGCCTGGCCCCTGCTTTGAGTCTTTTCTGCATCATTCTGAGCTGGAAACCACCCCCCCAAAATCATTCAAGGACCCACATAACCACACAATGGAAGCCTTGCGGCCACCGAGCAGCATGAAAGGCCACAGCCGGGTCCCCCCAGCTGCCTCCTGGGCTCTGACCCACCCGCCGTAGCCACAGCCTATTTACACACGGCGTCAAAGCCACGGCCGTCAGTCACCGCGTGTCGCTCCCAGCTGCAGACGCTGGACAAAAGGGCGACGGGTGGCAGCCCCCAGCGCGGAGGGATGGGCCACAGGGCTGCTCTCTGGGCATCTCTGAGCAAGACCCTCCAGCGCCACAGCGGAAATGGCCAGACAGGCCTGCACCCAAAAAGCAAGTGTCAGCTGTGTCGGAGGAACGCAGGACGGGAGAGTGGTTTCCACCCAGCGGACCTCTGCCAAGACCTCCTCTGCTCTGACTGTGGCAGCAGCTGCTCCCTCCGCGCCCACCCTCGGCAAGGCACCCTGGCCCGGTCCCGCTCACCACCGGAACCTGGGAAGCTGGGGTCTCCCAGAGACAGCCTGGCCCCTGGAGGGAGCGTCTCGGGCAGAGTCTGGGCCTGGACCTGGGCCTGGTGTTGCCGTGAGGCCCTGCTCTCTGCAGGGTGGGAACTGGATGGCGGCAGGCTGCGGGGGAGGAAGACACGCGTGCAGTGAAGGAGACTGTGGGCTCCGGGACTTGTGACCTCCCCGTCCACGGCCCTGCCTTGTCACTTGCACGGATTCCTGGACCCCTGAGAACCTCCTGCTAGAACTCTGCGTGAAAGGGACGAGGCAATGTGGAGGGGCCTCACGAAGTGGCCCTTTCTCTTCCCCTGAGGCCCCCTCTCCTCCTCCTCCTCCAAAGAAATTAATTCATGAAAAATAATACTCCAGTCAGCATCGGGTGACCCAGCAAACCCACGTCAGCTGCAGCATCAGGGCCCAGCCCAGCCTGAGTGTGAGCCCCTCCCCGCCCAGCCCCAGCCCAAGCCAGCGGACCTGCCCGCCAGGACCCGGTGTGGAGGAGAGACGGGGGTCTGCCCTCTGCACCCGAGTGGGCAGCGAGCAGGTCCCCGCTTTACAGGAAGGGGAGCAGGGAGGTCAGGGGCAGCTCCTTCTCCCCGAGCAGCGTGTCCCGCTTGAGGCTGCTGCCCTTGTTCACCACCTTGATCCTGAGGGCCAGTTTCCGGACGCTGGCCGGCCCCAGGCCGTCGAAGAAGAAATCCTCGTTGAAGACTGGGTGGCGGCTGTTCTTGATGATGGTGCTGCGCTGCTTCTGCAGCTTGCCGGGCACCAGGCACAGGCCCACGCAGCAGTTGATGCTGCGGGCATCGTACAGGCGGTCGTAGAGGCCCTCGGCGGCCAGCAGGCGCACCCGCAGGCGGGCCTGGCCTGCCTGGTACTCCGCCAGCAGCCGCACGCTGCCCCGAGGGCCCACGTGGACCGTGTGCTCCCCACGCGCCTGGCCCGACTCGGGGCCAGGTTCCGGGGGTGCCCGGCGGGTCAGGCGGCGCCGGCTCCCGGGGCTGGTGTCCGGAGTGCTGTCGTCAGCCGACAGGGAGCCGTGGCGACCCACCGAGTGCCGGAGCTGGCTCACCTTGGCCTGGCTGTCCTGGGCGAAGCCTTTGAGCAGTGACACCGAGCGGGAGAGCAGAGGGGACCCGAAGGGAGAGGACTCGGCCGAGGACCCCGTGTCGCTCTCCCCGCCACTGAAGTAGCGGCCGGGGCTCATGAGGGCCCCGCCAGGCTCCCTGGGGCCCCCATCACCCCCGTTGGCCTTGGCAGCTGCCCGGCGGCGCCCGGCACCCAGGGAGCCCACCTGGGCCAGGGCCCCGTGCTCACTGTGGAACAAAGACTCCTTGCGCCTAGTGTGGGGGCTCTCGGCCAGCGTGGTGAAGCCGTAGGACGTCTGGGCCTTGGGGACCGAGGGCAGGGACATGGCGCCCTGGGCCTGGGGGTCGGTGTCAGTGGCCTCCTCGGGCGGCCACTCCTCAGCACTCTCGATCTGGATCACGTGCCGGGTGGCTGCCTTCAGCAGGCTCTTGCTCTCGGCTGCCAGCTTGGCAGGCAGCCGGGGGCTCCGTGGGGTCTGGCGGGGGGCCGCGGAGGCCAGGTTCTGTTCCGACGTGGACGGGCCCAGCGCGGCCTGTCCCTCGCCCTCCACGGGGCCCGAGGGCAGCTTGGGGGGGATGAAAAAGTCGGGGATCTTGTCGGGCGTCAGCACATTGCTGTATAGGGGCCCCTTGGAGGCCTTGTCCCCGGCCTCACTCCCCGCGCCCCGGGCAGCTCCGTTCTCCCCAGACCCCCGAAGCCGCTCCAAGAACCACATGTTGGTTTTTCTCATGGGGGCAGCAGGCAAGAGGCCAGGACAGGGGCTGCAGCGTCTGGGAAGAGAAGCAGGGGTCAGGAGCAGCGGGGGGGCGGCTGGCAGAGGGCCCTGGGCACCTGTTCCCTGTGGGGCCACCTGGCCGGGCCCTGTGGGTGGGGTGGGGGTGCAGGGGTCCTCTGGGGGCGTCCCCCCCCCGGGCGCTGCGGCCCAAGACAGGAGTGAGGCGGGTCCCCCCTCCCTTTTCCGGAGGGGTCCCGCTTAACTCCCAAGCACCCAAGCCCGGGGAGGTGGGGGCCGCGCTGACTCTGGGGCGCTCCCAGAGGAGACTGGCCCCCCTCCCGCCCCTGCTCCGGTTTGCAGCCTCTCAGCGCGGGTTCTAAGGGGTTCCGCGCTCAGTCCTAAGGGAAGACGCGGATGTGGGTGGCCCCCGGGGTGTCCCAGCTCCGCCCCCCCCGGCTCCCTCCCACCTGTGGCTTCTCCCCGGACCCGCAGGGCCAGGCGTTCGGGTGGGGGGAGGGAGGGGCCGCGGGTCTGGGGCCGAGAGCGCAGCGAGTGACTCCCCGGTGTCCCCCCCACCCTCCCGAGACTCAGCCTGGGGTGGGGGTGGGGTCCTGGCCGTGCCCGCAGGCCGGGCGGGGTCGCGGGACGCACCTGCCCGGGGTCCCGGGGTGACGGCCCGAGGCTGGAGGTCTGTTCGCAGACACGCAGGGGTCTCGGCGCGCAGGCTCCCGGGGCTGGCGCGGGGGACGCGGCCGGAGCCTCGATGCGGGCGGCGGCGGCAGCGCAGTCGGACTCATTCACCCGCGGCGGGAAACCGCCCAGCCCCGCCGCCGCCGCCGCCGTATTCCTCCTAGTACGGCCGCCCGCGCCCCCGCCTCGCTCCGCCCTCCAGGGACGGGGTGGGGGGCCGTCTCCCCGCAGCCCCAGGAGGCCGGTGTCAGGGAGGAGCCTCGCCAGGACCCGGGGGGGCTGACTGGGGGCCGGTGGGCGACCAGCAGGTGGTCGCGGTGGGCTGATGGCCACTCCTGGCGCTCACGTCCGCAGATTCCGGGAAGCCGGACCCCTGCCTCCGTACATCTGAAGAGGACCCCAGACCCCCTGCTCGCTGCCGGCGAGGAGCTTTCCCGACCGACGACGACGAATTAAATGACGGCAACAGTAATAAATGCAGCTGGGTTTATGATGGAGCGTTTTCTCCCTGGCGGGTCTCTGACTCTCACACAACCCAGTACGCAGGTCCTACTGCAATTCCCAATTTGTAGATGAGGAAGGAGCGGGGGGGATTCCTTCAAGAAACAAGGACCGAGCAGCTGGAACAGCTGGTCTCACTAAACGGGCAACCTCTCAGCAGCCCCCCAAGAAGCCTGGGAGGTAGCTGCTCCTTCATTTCACGGACAAACGTTTACTGAGCCCCCTGCTTGATGCTGGACAGTGACCCGGCCCCCCGGGACACAGCTGGGCCGGAGGGAGGTGGCCACGGCCCTGGTGATGCAGGGGCAGGAGGCCCACAGAGCACACAGGTGCAGCTCAGAACTGCAGGGGTGGTGACTCCTGGATCAGGAACACAGCAGGAAAGTGTGAGGCACGGGGCGAAGGGAAAAGGCACATCCGTGTGATTCACGGATGGAAAAACCCAGAGGGGGCAAGACCAGGTCCCAGGTTTCCTGGCCGTTCCTGAGACCACAGGGTCCCCCTTCCTGAGGCCCCGACCCCCCTCCTGCCAGTTGCTGATGTGATCTACCAGTCCCGGCCTTCACTGCTTCCTTCTTTCCCTCCCTCCCCGCCTCAGTTTCCTCTTTGGGAACCAACCTGAGCAGTTCCCAGCCTCCATGTGTATGGAGCCAGCAAGATAACATATCACCAGGACCAACCGGGAGCCGGCGGACGCCTGGCGCTTTATTGGATTATTGATTGTCCAGGAGCCTCCTGCGTTCTGGGAATGTCCCCAAATCTGGACGTGGCCCAAGCTGGGAGGAGCGGCTGCTGCCACCGTGGTACAAGAGGGGTCCAGGAGGGCGAGGGAGCTGGGCTGGGGCCTCCCCACTCTCCACGTACCCTTGAAGTGAGGGGTTAGATTCCTGCCATCCAGAGGAGTAAAGTGAAACCCAGGGGAGCTGTGACCCCATCTCAGCTTTGTTCACCCAGCAAGCGTTGATGAGTCCCCACTTTTGTTCACCCAGCAAGCGTTGATGAGCTCCCACTTTGTGCTGGGGCAACCACGACACAGCCCTGAAGTCTGACAGGGAGGCAGACACCGAGAAATTCTCCCCTTCACCGCAGCCTGGCAGGGCCCCCGAACCCCAGCTCCGGCCACGAAGAACACTCTCGAGCTGCCGGGAGGAGGGTCCTGGGGGTCTGTCCACCGCCCCTGCTGGGCCCCGATCCTGGGGGTCTGTCCACCGCCCCTGCTGGGCCCCGATCCTGGAGGTCTGTCCACCACCCCTGCTGGGCCCAAGCCAGGAGGAGGGTCCTGGGGGTCTGTCCCTGTGGTGTCCCCAAACCCCAGGCCAGCCAAGTCTCCAATAAACATTTGCCAAACAAATGGGCGAATAGCATCACCACAATGGCCCGGGAACAGTGCTCCTTCGCCAGGCCCTAGGGGAGGGACCTCAGGAGCCACAGAGTCACCCTCCTCAATTGCGGACAAAGACAGCAGGGCCCGGGGAGGGAACGGGACAGCGTGGGCCGGAGGAAGTGGCAGTGACCGGTCTCCTGACATCAGGCCAGCCCCAAGTGTTGGGGGTTCGCTCTCCAGCACCCCTGCCCAGCCCAGGTGGGGGCAGACTCTGTCCTCCCAGCTGGGTTGGGGGATGAGGCACTGAGTTTCCACTACGCCTGTTTCTGTGCTAAGGACACAAATCCAGAGCTGGTCAATCAGGGCTTGAATCCTGGCGCCAACACTTCCCCCTGTGTGACGCTGACAAGCATCCAGACCTCCGCCTCTTCGGCAGCCCAGGGCATCACAGCCTTGGAGGGAGGGTTCAACAGATCACGATGTGCCTACAGCCGCCCCACCAAGTGTCCGAGGCAGGTGTCAGTCACCATCTTCCTCAGACGCTTCTGCAGGTGAGGAAAGGGTCTCAGACCGGGGGAGCTGGCCCAGACCTCACGGTGCACCCCAGAGCTCTGACCCCACCACAGCCTGGCTCGACCAGAAGCCCACCCCATCCCATTTGGGGGCTGCGGAAACAGAGGCCTGAAAAGTACCTGGGATGGGTCCTAACACCTGCCCTGTGGACAGATGCAGGCCCCACCCTGGGTGGGGCAGGGGCAGGGGCAGGCAGGCCGGGGCCTTCCGGCTGCTCAGCTCTGCGCAATCGGTGAGTAAACAGGAGCCTCTCCTGGTCAACAGAACCTTCTGCCTCCATCTGCAACAGCCTCGCTGCAGCCCTCCAGGAATCGGAGACTGGGAGGCTCAAGCTGGAGGAGGGGGCCCAGGTGGTATCGCCCAGCCCCTCTCGGCCCTGAGTCGTGGCACCTCATGCTGGATGACTTTGGCCCTCCATCCCCACAGGTGGGGGCCCCAGCAGGGACCTGGGGCTTCCCAGAGCCAGGCCTGAATCCAAGGCTGTCCCACAGTGGCCTCCAGGATAACAGGCTTGGAGGATGCATGGGGGGGTGGTTTAAAAAAAAAGGGGGGTGCCTACAATCCGAGCTCCAATGCTGAGGAGGCCACTGGGTACCTGTGCAGCTTGAAGACTTATCCTGGGAGCGTCAGGAAAGGGAGGGGACGGCGTAATAATAAAGCAATCCCAGGAGCAGGACTGTCTGTGAGCTCCCAGGAGGGACCCGGCTGCTTCGTGCATCACAGGTTAGCCCAGTCAAGGGGCCCTGGAGGCCATCACCGCCAGTTTCCAGATAGGGACACTGAGGCACAGCGGAGTAGCCCGATGCCTCGGGGAGCACACGGAACCGGCTGACCTCCAGGCCTGCCACGGGCAGGGGGGTGCTCAGTTAATACTAGCTGATACCCGGGGCATCCTGGCCCCTCCACGGCAAGTCCTCCTGTCTCCTCGTGCAGGGGATTGAGTGCAACTCGGGGAAGGAAATGACTCATCCAGGCTCGCACTATTCAGAGGTTGAATGTGACCCAGGGTTCCGCCTCCCACTCCAGGCTCAGCCTCCCGAGAAGTGGATTATTGACCTAATTATTCCAATTATTGGAAGTACAAAGGTAGGAAGGGGTAGGAGACAGGTGTGGGGACCCAGCTGGAGCCAGGCGTCTGGGCACCCAGACTCTTCCAGCCCAGAGCACAGGATTGGGAAATGGGGGCCCCCCAAAACCGGCTTCACCACCTCCGGGTGGGATGGTCTCGGAGGTCACCTCACCTCTCCAAGCCTCCGTCTCATCTGTAAAGCGGGGAGAGTTTCAGCACCCAGAGTTCATGCTGCTCTTGGCTCATGTCCCAGCAGGTGCCAGTTTCTATTTACACAGGGACTTGGAAGAGGACAGACGAAGGCGGGGCGTGGATGGGCAACCCGGGCCCGGGGCCCAGGGCGATGAATGATTGAATGAATGAATGAATGGCATTTAGACCCTCTCTGTCCTATGCATCTCAGGAATCGGACACTCCTTAGTCCCCAACACTCCTCTGGTCCACTGCCTCCTCCTTGCCGTCCCCTCCATTCCTGTCCTGTTCCCAACAGTGTACTTCCTGCTGGGAAATCTCATGGGGAATGTTATCGCCCCTGTGCTTCAAAGACCCCTGGCAGCTCTTCCTGGCACCAGGCCTCCCCCAAGCTCCGTGTCCTCACCCTGCTTCTGACCTCACCCGGCCACACTGGCCACCCTTCTGCTCCCTGAATGTGCTGACTGAACACACCACAGGGCCTTTGCACACGCCGTCTCCTCTGCCCAGAGCTCTACTTTATTCACCCTCCAATCACCGTCCTTGTGTTGTTCCCACAGAGATACCCTCCTGGATTTCCTGGGATCTCTAAGCTCCAGGACGCACTCCTTTCCACAGTTGTTTGCTTGTTTGGTTTGAGATGGAGTCTTGCTCTATCCTCCAAGCTGGAGTGCAGTGGTGCGATCTCAACTCACCACAACCTCCGCCTCCCAGATGCAAGTGATTCTCCTGCCTCAACCTCCCGAGTAGCTGGGACTATAGGCGCCCGCCACCTCGCCCAGCTAAGTTTTGTATTTCCAGTAGACGTGGGGTTTTGACATGTTGGCCAGGCTGGTCTCGAACTCCTGACCTCAGGTGATCCACCTGCCTCAGCCTCCCAAAGTGCTGGGATTACAGACGTGAGCCACCATGCCCATTCCACAGTTGTTGTTGTATGTTGAGTGTTGATTTGCTGATTAATGTCACTTGGCCATTATCTCCATGAGGGTAGATCTGTCTTGGTCAATATCACTATTGCATCCTGTTTGCCTACCAGAGCTCCTGGCAGAGAAAAGATACTCAATGAAACATGCTGAAAGATGGTGGGTGGGTGGATGGATGGAGCAGTGAAGGGAATGAACAAGGAATAGACGATGGATGAGCGAGTGATAGACAGGTGGACGGATGGATGATGAATGGATGGACATATGGAAAATGGATGGATGGAATAATGATGGAGGCTTAGGCAGATGGATGGGGGACCAGGTGGGTGAACGGATAGATGGATGGCTGGGTTACTGATGGGTGTAGATGGGGGGATGAATGGGTGACTGGATCGATGGTTGGATATGTAGATGGATGGTTGGATGGATGAGTGGGTTACTGATGGATATGTAGATGGATGGATGGATGAGTGGATTACTGATGGATGTGTAGATGGTTGGATGGATGAGTGGATTACTGATGGACATGTAGATGGTGGATGGATGGGTGGATTACTGATGGATGTGTAGATGGTGGATGGATGAGTGGACTACTGATGGATGTGTAGATGGTGGATGGATGAGTGGACTACTGATGGATGTGTAGATGGTGGATGGATGGGTGGACTTACTGATGGATGCTGTAGATGGTGGATGGATAGGTCGGATTTCACTGCATACGGATGTGCAGATGTGGATGGACTGAGTGGATTACGATGATGTGTAGATGGTGGATGGGTGGGTGGATTACTGATGGATGTGTAGATGGTGGATGGGTGGGTGGATTACTGATGGATGTGTAGATGGTGGATGGATGGGTGGATTACTGATGGATATGTAGATGAGGGATGGATGAGTGGGTTAATGATGGATGTGTAGATGGATGGATGGATGGGTGGGTGGATTACTGATGGATGTGTAGATGGGGGATGAGTGGATTACTGATGGATGTGTAGATGGATGGATGGATGAGTGGATTACTGATGGATGTGTAGATGGATGGATGGATGGATGGATTACTGATGGATTTACAGATGGATGATGTATGAGGAATGAATGGATGGATGAGTGGGTTACTGATGGATGTGCAGATGGGGGATGAATGCGTGGATTACTGATAGATGTGTAGATTGAGGATGAATGGGTTACTGATGGATGTGTAGATGGGGGATGGATGAATGGGTTGCTGATGGATTTATCGATGGATGATATATGATGGATGGATGGATGGATGGATGGATGGATGGATGGATGGATGGTAGATGAGTGGGTTACTGATATGTAGATGGGAGGATGGATGCATGGCTCTGTCTCCACATCTCTGAAATAAGAGACGTGTCATCGAAGCCCCTTTTGGGCTTGCCTTTGGAGAGTTCCAGTCCTAGCTAAGGACAAACCAGAGTGGCTTTTTCTCCCCACACACACCCTTACTAGACCTGTCCCCCAGGGCAGGGGTAGGGCCTGACACCTGCAGAGAAAGCAGCCAGAGATCCTCAGCCGGGACAGACGTGGGCCTGCAGGGATGTGGCCAGGCTGGGAACCTCTCTCCTGGGAAGATGCTGTGTTGGTGGGAGGAGGAGTTGGGGGGGTCTCTTGGAGTCAGAGGCTCAGATATGACAGCAGGTCTAAGGAATGGAGCTGGGGTGCTTGAGCATGATGCGGGGCATCGGGGAAGAGCAGGGGCATTGACGGGGTGTCTTGGAGAGAAGCTAGGACAACAGAAGAGCCCGGCCATCTACGGCTACGCTGGGGACATCTTGGAGAAGAAAACAAACGGCTCTTGTCTGATGTCCTGGGCTGTGTTGAAAGACAGGTTTGGCATTCGGGTGATAAACTAGGGTGTCTCCAAGGCGGTGAGAGAAGTGTTTAATGGAGAAGCTGAAGTGTGTTTTATCGTGGATAAAATAGAGGTAACCGAGAGAGATGCGGGGGCTGCTGGGCACAGGGTCACCCCACAGTCTGCCAGATATGGACACACACGTAGCCCCCCTCCCTTCTCTCCAAGTGCAGGCCCTCAGGGAGGCCACATGTGGACCCTCTGAGCCCCCTCAGCTCTCCACCTGGGTGACTCGTCCCAGCCCCAGCCCCAGCCCCGCAAGGGCCCCCAGATATGCAGGCGGGCTCGTGCTCTTGTGGCCGTTCCCAGGTTTAATGACAAACCGATCCGAACATCTGGTCTAGATCCACAGCTGGGAGGGCGGGGTTGGGCGGAAGCTGGTGGGCACAGCCCAGGCCGGGCAGCCACATCCTTCCCCTGCTCCCAAGTGTCGGGGCCTCACAGTATCCACTGTCTTGGAGCGGCCTGGCTGCCCCGGAATCCCAGGTCACCTCAAGGCTGCCTCCACTTCCAACGCCAGCATGTGTCCTGGCCTGAGAACCCCAAAGCACCTTAACTGTCCCCCATCAAAGACAACCGTGCACCCAGTTCCTCAGGTGGGAAAAGTAAGCCCAGCCAGGCCCGGGATCCGCCTCCTCCCCAGGGTCCCGGGAGCCCTGACTCTCCCGGGCGTGAGACCGAACCAGCCGGGCGAGAGGGGGACCCACAGGCCAGGGCTCCCAGGCAGCGGCGGCTTCTGGATATACTTTCTTTAAAGGCGAAATGGTTCTGTCTTTGGTATGAACACCCTCACTCCAGGCAAAGGAGGGGGTGGGCAGGGGTCCCGGCAGGAGGAGGCTCTGCCCAGCCCGGGCCGGCTGGAGGGAGGACCATGCCAGAGGCTCATGCGAAGGAAGGAGAGGCAGCGGCGGTTCGGCCTGACCAGGATCCAGGAGGAGGGCTGAGCGCCCCAAGGCCACGACAGGCAGGAGCCGGGGCTGAGCACGGTCACCTGCAGGCAGAAAGAGAAGGCGAGGTCAGGGCTGAGACGGTGGCTGCAGACCCGGGCTCCGGTGTCAGTCACACGGCTCGTCTGCCTGGCCATCATCTCCACGAGTGCCACACTCAGGGCCAGCCCGCAGCTCCTCAGCTCGCATGGCTGGGGCGCCGGTGCAGGTGACCCGAGTCCTTGCCGTGGACCTAGGGAGTGCCCTGACCTCCCTGCGGTTTCCTCGCATGACAGCGAGAATGCCGATCCCGGTGCCTGTCTCGGAACCGAGGGGTTGAGCACATTCCTGGGACAGGCCAGCGGCCTCCTGAGCAGGACTCATTCCGCCTTCGCCTTCGCGGTTATTTCTGGGGTCACCAACGCCTTTCAGAGAGGACGCAGGCAGGGACCGGTGGGAACGGAACACAGGAGCCCGCGGGCCGTTTCCGGTGCCTCACGGGAGCCCCTTCTCGGTCCCCAAAGCCCCTCCCAGACCCGGAACCCCCTCTGCCTGCAGCCCGAGGCCTGGCTGGGGGTGGGGTGGAGGCCGCGGCCGCGTGGGGGAGGTGCCACCCAGGAAAGAGGAGGCAGGAAGGAGACTGTTGTCATGGGGACAGGAGAGCAGCCCGACCTGGCCCAGAAGCGCGGCCCTTGGGGAAATTCCACGGCCCCCTCCCCCTGCTGGCCCTCCCTCCTCCCCCGCCGCTCTCTCAGCCTCCACTCCCTCCAGCCCCACAGCTGCACCCTGTCCTGCTCCGACCTCACCCAGACCTGCCTGTCCCTCCCCCGTGGATGCCCTGCCACGGGTCCCCCCCCAGCCCCGCACCAAAAGTAGAGGCCCAGGGCTCCGCGGCCCGGCCTGAGGTGTGGGCTTCTCACTGCCTGGGTTCACACGCCAGCCCCTGCCTGTCCCAGCCCACCGTCCTCTCCGGGAAGGAGGCCTGGACGCCCAGCACGCAGCAGGGGTCCATAAAGACCAGGCGACGTCCATCCCAGCCAATCACAGCTGCACAGTTACCATCATGGCTGCACAGGGCCACTCTGGGGCACGTGCCCACCACGGCCAGTGACGCGTGTCCACACACAACCTGCACACAAAGGCTCACCGTGGCCAAAACGTCCATCAGGGACAAATAAACACAATGTGGCCCCGTCACACAGTGGGACATTACCCAGCCGTGAACAGGAGCCAGGCTCTGACCCAGGCCACAGCACAAGGCACCTTGAGGACGTCACGCTCCGTGAGAGACGCCAGACCCAGAAGGCCACACCGTGTGATCCCATTTCTAGGAAATGTCCAGGACAGGCCCATCCACGGAGACAGGAGGCGGATATATGGGGGTTGGGGCTGGGGAGGGGACAGGGAGCGATGGCTGGTGGGGACAGGGCACCTTTCGGGGCTGACAGAATGTTCTGGAACTCGACAGAGATGGTTGCACAGCTTGGATGCTGAACACCCCTGAGTCGTGCCCTCTAGAGGGAAAGGCACGGCGTGTGAACCGGGTCTCAAATTTCAAATTAGAAAAGAATCGGGCAAAGGGGACGAGGCCGGCGGCCCACGGCGGCAGCCACACACCTGGCTCAGGGCTCCCGTGAGACGACGCCGCGCAGGTGCAGCTCGCTCTCGGCGGCCACGATGGGCTGCCCGTTCTGCAGGTGGTGGTCGATCAGGTGGCTGATGCTCTCAAACAGCACGTCCTTCGTCCGCACCTGCAGGACAGAGACCTCGGCATCAGCTCCCGGGAGCCGGCCTGGACCCGTGGAGTCGGAGATCGGCGATCTGGGGTCCTGTCGGGGAGCCCCTAGGGTGCCTGCGTGGATGAGTGTCCGGACCAGGGAATTCCGGGACGCCAGCCACAGGATCGGCCTCAGAATTCCAGAACCACACATGGGGACGGGCTCTGAAACTGCCAGGGTTCTGGGGCCACGCGTCCTGTTGGGGGCTGAAGGGTGACCCCATGAGAGATTGGAGCCGTGTGCCCACAAACCCGGCAGCACCCGGGAGGCGGCCACCAGCGGGCGCCGGGAGGGGCCTGGGACCGAGCAGCACCCGGGAGGTGACGTGTCCCCGGCTGCTCTGAGATCATGGGTGACGTGTCCCCGGCTGCTCTGAGTTCGTGGGTGAGGCTGGGGGCCCTGTGCACATTTCACGTGGGAAACAGGGACAAATGCACATTCCTAGGCCTGCGGCAAAATCATCTCCTTCCATGGCACTGGGAATGGGAGCTGGGAATCTGCCTTTCGACAAGGTACTGGCAGACGTTCTGAAGCTTCCCCAGGTCTAGGGGCTGCCAGTCTGACCCCAGGGATCCATTTAACAGAGGGAATCTGGCCTGGGAAAGAGCGGAGGCATCACCCACCAGGCTAGAGACTAGGCAGCGGCGGGGGGACCGGAAACAGTCTGGAGGGGGCTCGGGAACTGGGAGAGCAGGCACCTCTCGCCCAAGCCCTGCCCCTCTCCAGCTTTGTCCCAGGCCGGGGTGCACAAGCGCCACCCCTGCCCCCCACAGTGTGCTTCACGCGGAGACCAGGCTGGCACCAACCCAAGAGCCACTCTGAGGGTTCGGCCGGACGGCTGAAAACGCCTCCTGCACTCTGAGAGGCCTCCGAACCCTCCAGCACCTCCTCACCTGAGAAATAACCTGTGTAGCCCTCAGACGCTCAAAATGCTTCATAAACCCTAGAACTCCTTGTAAATTGGAAAATGCTTTGTAAACCCTAAAACGCTTTAGAAGCTGGAGATTACTAAATCCCACTGGCCCAGAGCAACTGTAAGATGCACCACGATTTCAGGTACCAGGAGCAGAGAGAGG